GCTTCTGCGACGCTCCGAGAAAGCATACTGCGCTAACATATATGTGCGAACCACGAACGGTAGCAGGACCTCTTCTCATCTGCTGGTCTCCAAAGGCAAAGTAGCGCCTCTCCGAACCACCAGTTTACCGCGACTTGAATTGTGTGGCGCCCTTCTCCTAGCGAAGCTGGTCGCCGTAGTGCCGTCTCAACTCGACCTCTCTAAGCGGAAACTGATACTATGGTCTGACTCCGAGATCGTCTTGGCATGGCTAGAAAAACCCCCTCATTCATGGAAGACCTTCGTTTCCAATCGCACGGCACAAATTTTAGATCTCGTCGGAAACGCCACCTGGCGACATGTGGGCAGCAGAGACAACCCCGCAGATTGGGCACTAGAGGATGCAGACCCCTGGACTTAGCGACCTCTCCGCTTTGGTGGCATGGACCGGAACGGCTATTAAGCCCACCCGAAGGTTGGCCAAAACCGGCCACCCGAAACATCTCCCCTCTAGAAGTGCGCCGAATCGAAGCATTACATGCCACAGAGGAAGATCACGATATCTGTTTAGGCCGGCGCCCTAAACAATTAAATTTACGGACCGCCCTAATATTTCACTTTGTGTATAAGACACAACAGTTAGCTTATACTTGTACAATCCACTAGCTATGTTAAAATACATAGCAGGAAAAAGAACGGATTTTACTTATCTTGCGAGTATCCAAGTAAGCAGACGTCCTCGAGCCACCACGCTTCATCGCCTCATCAATTTAATAATGAAGGTAATCTGAAATACATTTGTACATGTTATTATTAGAGCAAATAAAATATATTTGAATTCTTGTATTTCTAATACCGAATTTTACCTTTGTCTATTTCTTTTAATTTAACACACGACAACGATACATCGGAGCGAACGTGTATCTGATCCTTGCCACATATTCGCCCGATGAACATGGTCCTTCGAGCCGGATAATGGTACCACCAGCAATTTTCAAGGAGCGCGCACTGTCGATGTAATTAAAAGCTATTCGAACCAAAAATCTATTGCGGCAAACAACGAAGAACAGACACCGGAGGAGGATACAGGGGTAAGTGTGATTTTTATGCTTAATCATGTGAATTGACTGCTATGAAGTAGATAGGGAAATTTGAAAACTCCTGAGGTGGTGACCAACCGGTAGAGCGTACAAAACGTTGGTATTTATGTAGAACTTGAGTCGTCTGTCTGCGAGAAATGTGGTGGGAGTAGTACAAGCTTGACAAGCGGTCTTGTCACAGTGCCTTTTTCCGTCATTAGATCAACAACACGAACTCTGTTATCCGAACCGGGATATAAATTGTCCACCCTACCTAATCTCCATACGTTAGGAGGAAGATTATCTTCTTTTATAACCACCATATCTCCTATTTTCATGTTGGTTTTAGGATTTTTCCACTTCGTCCGTTTCTGTAGTTCATTAAGGTACTCAGTTTTCCATCTCCTGCAGAAGTTTTGATGGAGGGCTTTTAGTTTTTGCCAACGATTAACAATCGAGGCAGGATTTTCGTTTATATCTAACTCTGGTGGAGCCAACAGATGTCCACCGACCAAAAAATG